AAGTACCCAACTTCTGACTGGTTTTAGACACCTATTCCCTATTTACTCCCCAGAGAATCATGCATCATGGCTCCATGAGCACAATCAAATACGATGAATACAATGACTTGCTCTCTAAAGAGCATAAATCCCTTAACAAGCTACCCCTCACAACAACAAAAAATGAAACCACCTTCCTTCAGACAGAAACTCACTTTCCCTTTTCAACCACTGAGATTCTACATGGATGGTGCTCTTTCCTTTTCTAGAAAATTCAGGTTTCTAAAAGGTATACACTTTTGGCCAGGTGGAAAGAGACTAGTTAAAGTGGTTGATTTGGACCTTTTAGACCTGGGAGAAATTCTAAATGGAAGCTCTAAAAGGAAAAACAAACTGTGTCTGTTTGGTTGGTCCCATTGCCTGCTGTGTGTATGACTGTCCCACACAGATTAAAGAAGATGGCGATTCCTACACCTCACAGGGAAGTCAGCCTACAGAGGGCAGAGCTTGTTCACAAACACACTCTTGTGGCTTGAGGCTCTTCTGGGATGTTGGTCAAAATTAACCTGTTTCATCCCTTTTTAGCCATAGTCAAAACCAACTGAGGCTCCAGTGACACAGCTGGAACTCCTCCTAGCCACTTTCTAAACTCACCATCTTTTTTCATGGCACTGGACTCACAAGTCTCAGAGAATATAGAGATGAAATCAATCTTCAGGTCAGGATTACACTTAGCAGAGGAGACCTACTGAAAAATATTTCTAAAGTCGATCCTGTTGGAAAAGACAGGTAAGTTTGGGATTTCTCCAACAAGCACAGTGAGAACCAGTGAGGCTTCTGGCCTAAAGAACAATTCCAACGGATGAAATGCAAACTAAAGAACTACACAAAATCAGGATATGAGCAGAATTCTGGGATACATTTGATAGCTTTTCTCTCTTCCTCTCATTGTTTTCATTCCTTACTATCAATATAAAAAGTCAGTTCACAAGCTGCATGAACTGTTTCACTCTTGCCCTTTCCTCTAAAACAATAGCCTTTTGTGTAAATGTTAAGGTCACTCGGCTCTGTACCTTAGAACCTTATACTTTGGGGGTAAAAGGCAACCTTTTGCAGAAAAGCAGTCTTAAAATAAATACAAAAATACAGACTTTAGCGTTTGGGCTTCACCTAATTCTTTCAAAGAGGGACTGGATAGGGCTCATCAAAAACATGCAAACACATATTTTCTCTAAATGATGTTTTACAACAATATCTAAACCCAGTGATCAAGATAAGACAGTGAGCTTTCAGGTTTAACTCTTTCATATACATATTATAAGGGACAATATATACTTTTTAAAAGTCTAAGGTTTTCTTTCCTAAATAACAGATTAAAATATTTTTAAAGTGCATGAATCAATTAAGAAAAAAATAACTAAGAATGGCCTAATTTCAAGTTGCTACCTACTTCCCTTTTAAAGCTACATATTATCTGAGGATTGAGTTTTAATTTCAGAGTCCTGAGGATGTGTTGGAAAGCAACAGAGATTAGAATAAAGTCCTTCCAGAGCAGTTTCACAATTACCTTCACTCTGACATGCCAGGTAGAGAAGAAAACATTAGAAATTATAGCCTGAGGGAGAGAGGAAATACAGCATGAGTTTTGAAAGATGGAGACCAAGAAACATTTTTATGAGGACCACCTCCCCAGGTAACTGGCATTGAATGAAATAATTTTGCTAATAAACCAGGAGCTCTCTGACATAGGAGAGCTGATGTCTGTGCAGGGAACATACTCTATTGGATACCTGTCAAAAGGAACAGAATGGCAGAATCATCTTTGTTTAAAAATTAGCAGTTTATAATTTTAACATCTATGTGCTGGATATACATAAGGGTGCTTACTATATACTTCTTTTTAAAAATTTTTTTTAAACATTCTTTTTTTAAAAAAATTTATTTTATTTATTTTTGGCTGTGTTGGGTCTTCATTGTTGTGCGCGGGCTTTCTCTAGTTGCAGAGAGCGGGGGCTACTCTTTGTTGCGGTGCGTGGGCTTCTCATTGCGGTGGCTTCTCTTGTTGCGGAGCATGGTCTCTAGGCACGCAGGCTTCAGTAGTTGTGGCTCGCAGGCTCTAGAGCGCAGGCTCAGTAGTTGTGGCGCACGGGCTTAGTTGCTCCACGGCATGTGGGATCTTCCCGGACCAGGGCTCGAACCCGTGTCTCCTGCATTGGCAGGCGGATTCTTTTTTTTTTTTTTTTTTGCGGTACGCGGGCCTCTCACTGTTGTGGCCTCTCCCGTTGCGGAGCACAGGCTCCGGACGCGCAGGCTCAGCGGCCATGGCTCACGGGCCCAGCTGCTCCGCCGCATGTGGGATCTTCTTGGACCGGGGCACGAACCCGTGTCCCCTGCATCGGCAGGCGGACTCTCAACCACTGCGCCACCAGGGAAGCCCTCTTTTAAATTTTGTTTGCTGAAAATTTTTCAAAATAAAATGTTGGGAAAAATTAATACTCTAAACTTTCTAAAAGCCCCGCCTCTCAACAAAGTAGCAAAACTAAACAAACTGAAGAAACTTAAGAACTCAGCCACTCTGTGGAGAGACTTCCAGGCTCTCTCCTACTGTGAAGTACCTTCTTTCCATTGTATGTTAATACTTATTTATCCTCTAAAGAAGACGGTGAAGGTGAAAGCAATGATTTTCATTTGATTGTTTGGTTCTGTAAACTCAGACAGGGAGAGACTAAGGAAGTGACTACCTCTTAGGGTCTGGTGGACTATGAAATTCTCAGTAATTACTTGTGTTTGTTAAGTAATATTTTGTCCCTAAAGTTCACTAATTTCAGATACTTAATATAGGATAGTGAATTAATTAGATGGTGAATTAATTTACCTATTTTTTGTGAATGGATCAAAGAAGCACTGACTGCTAATGAAACACCAGTACAGAATGAAATGTAACAATGTCCAGGACTTCAAAAGTGACCAGACAATAAGAGGCACACAGAGGTGACGGGAACAAGTCCCTCAGGCTTCCTTGACGCAACAGAACTAGGATTCCAAAGAAAATAAGTACAGGCTCTGATGGCAAAAATAAACAACAATAAATGTTATCCCAGGGAGCTTCCAGTGGCCTGACAGCTCCATTTTAAGAGAATGTCAGAAGTTAATAATAAACGGGAAAAATAAGCCAGGCTTTAGCTGACTGGAGAACAGCTCAGTAGAAAATTATTTTATAAAGATTCTACTCAATTAGCTAAGGCGTGATTCAACTTCAGTGATGAAAAGAGCAGTCATACAGTTACCAGATGGGATGACGCAGAGCAAGTTTGCTTTCACTGCCCAAATAGGCAGTCACTAAAATAATTTCTAACTTCTTACAAGGTATATAAATTTGGGCCAGTATAATCCTCTATAAAATGCACTCAAATATAAAATAATGGAGGTATGAGGCCGCTCAGAGGATGCGGATGCTATGGTGGTCCACAGCATCCTCTCCTACTTGGGGCTTTGCCCCCAGAGGAACAGAAGGTGCGGCTGTATCACCCTTTGTTCATAACGTAGGTGCCACTACAGACCTATTGTGAGAAGCCCTGTTCTTTGAGTTTCTGCTTCTGTGCAGAGGGAAAACTTGGTGTGAGGCACCCACACAAGGAATGAATGAGCTAAAGGAAACATCGTGAAGAAGCTGACTCCTCAGAGCAGGCAAAGGACTTCGAAGTCCTAGAATCACAGGATGCCTCTGGTTGGCTAGTCAAGTCCTCTGCACAATCTGGGGCAAATGGGCAGATTCCCTCACAATCTAGAATTCCTAACAGGGAGCGCTGGGGTAAGCTGGCGTAATCCATCCATCTGAGAAGGGGCAGACTCCTCCCAAAGCATTACAGGACTGACCTGCAGGAGTGGAACATTATCCCTTCCCCACTTCTCCTGAAATCGTCAGCTTTAACTCCACAGAAGAGGTGCCCTCAATGGCTCAGAGCAGATGGAAGCCTTCTGAGAAACAGACGGAAACTGTCTCAAAGGCAAAATGAAATGTGCTTTAAAAATAAATAAAGTAATAAATAAATCTAATTATTCCTCAAAATCCTAAGGCAGTAACAGGCTTGACACAAGAGATAAGAAAGAAGGAGGTACAGATAATCGCAGTGGTCCCTTCTCTGCCCCCTCCTCCGCTGGGGCCCTGGGCACCCCCCTGCTCTGGTGACACTGGCTGCAGCACCCTGGGCCTCAGGGCCCACTGGGTGGAAAATGCAGTCGCCAGGGACTAAAGAACAAATACACCAGCAGCAACAGTGAAGTTTCATTATCACCTTTCCTGAGAGACTTTGAACACCAAAAGTTTTGAGCCCTCAACGCAAGAAACCTAAATCCAGAAACTCTAGAAATCTGACTGGTTCCAAAGCAAAATTTCTAAATAACACTCCTAAAGACCAAAAAAAAAAGTCGTGGGAAATCTGGAGTGTTGTTTTATTTGTTTTTTTTAACATCCTCTCTCAGACTGTACCCCTCCTTCTTTGATTATACAAAAAAAAAATAATTTAGTAATACCTGACTTTCAAAAATGTGGGTTCTGACATCAATCCAGTACCTAATTTCTACCCTTTCCCCTTCGACCACCAGTGCATCTTGAAACAGGAAGTGAAAAACTGGAGGCAGTTTTTCTTCCCAGAAGACCTTAGACTACAGTGATCATCATTTTGGATTGCATGGAAGTTCTTCCTGTAATGGCAAAGACACAGACTTAGAAAAGGGAAAAGAGGAGAGAAAGAGGTGGAGTGAAACCACTAGGACTAATAACACCCCTCCAGAGGCAGTGAGGGCTCCCAGCCTGTGCTAGAGACCACAAAGAAACAGCAGGTGGGAATATGGCAGTGGTGAGAGGCTGGACAGAGCTTTCTCCATCCAGGATACTGGGCTCCTTCATGGACAATGTGCTTTGCTCTCTTCCAGCCCTTTCAAAAAGTGGAGAGTGGGTGCCACTAAACACATCTGCAATAAAAGCTCTGGAAGAGAAGAGAACAGCAACTGAAATAATACACCTTGTACCAAAACAAAACTATATTTAAAACGCAACCCCCAACTTCCTTTCAGGCTTTTGCCTGATGGTTTCCTCCACAGAGAGATTTTGCTGGAGTCTAAAGCCAGAAGAGCGTGAGTCAGGGACCACGGAACAGGGGCACTACACCACCATCTGCAGAAGCCTGGGAGGGGGAAAAGCTACATGGGGTCAACAGTCAGGCACGCCAGCCAGGGCGTGAGGGTCGGGAGCCCCACGCTCAACTTTTAGCTCTTGCCTATCCAAAACAAGAGGCCCCAGCTGGCAGCCTGCTCCAGCCAGCAAACACCGCCTGCCCCCTGTCCCAGCGGGCCTTCAGCTGGTGTAGTAGATGTGGAAGTAGAGAGTCTTGTTGCGCAGCAGGGAGTAGGAGTTGTCGAACTTGAGCAGGTAGATGCCCTCACCAGGGTAGTCGTGGCTGCCGGCCTGCACGTCTCGGTGGCTGTCCCGCCGGTACACGGGCATGACCTCCCCATAGCGGCCCCGCAGGGAGCTCCTGGAGCCTCGCTCCACGTCTCCAGCTGGGACAGGGTCTGCATGAGCAAAAGGCAGAGTGTCTGGATATGAGTTCAGAGACCAAATACGCCTACCTGAGGGTGAAAAGATGGACCAGGTAACCCAGTGGCTTTCACCCAGGGGAGATACTGTTGCCCTCCTATGGGCATTTGGAAATGTCTGGTGGCCTTCGGGCCATCAGAGTGACCAGTTGGTGATACGGGCATTTAGTGCTCAAGGGTTCAGGAGTGCTAAATATAGGGATAGTACCTTCTCAACAAAGCAGTGTCTCACCCCAAATGCCAATAGTGTCTGCACTGAGAAAGAGTGATTTAGCCTTATAGAGCCTTCCTAGCTCCAAGAGTATCTGGAAATTTCCAAGGGGGAGAAAAAGATATTTAGAAGGGAAAATTCTGACATCTTTTCATCCAACAGGTAAAAGAACTCGCTGAAGGAGGTGGGAAATGTGGAAAAGTGCTGAAATGCTGGAAGTGCTATATGGAGCGACCCCGAACTCCTACTGGTCCCCATGAAGGTCAGCAAATAAGATCTGAGGTTCTCCTCCTTCCTGAATACATGCAGATTTCCCTGCAGACTTGCTTTTCCATGAAGAAGCAAGTTAAGGGAATGACTTAATGACTTAATCTTTCCCGTAAGATTATATGGGAAAATAAAGGAATAAGGCTAATGCTTAGAACCTACTCTTATACTACAAAACAAACAAACAGAAAAAAGCAGCTTCAGGGCCATGTGAGTAGGCGCTGCAAGTAACAGCTGGAACAGAGCACAGAGACTATTTTTAAAACTGCTCTTGTCAACCAGCTGTGACAGTTTGGAGGGCGGAGAGAATCGGTACATTTAGCAAATTGTAATCACTCAGTTTGGTTCCAGACCAAGAATAAATGTAAATATCCCACAAGTAAGAGAGAAACATAAAATAATCTCAGATTTATACATGTGATCTGAAAAACACTGCCCATACATACACCAGCAGGGGTCCACCCCTTTTCCTGCCCCCAACCTATCCCTGTCCCCAAGGAGATCTTGGGGGACATGGCTAGGTACTGATTAAAAAGAAAAGAAGCTTTCCACTAAGGCATCAAAGCCACCCCACCAGAATGTTCTTTGAGGGTCTGACTTTGACCTGCATCACTCAACTTAGCTTGCCATGCTGAAAGGGATTCTTCACCTGCATTCTCAGGAAGAGGACGACAGGTACAACACAGGAAGTGATCGCTGCAAATTAGGTTGAGACAGAAAAGGAAACTGCAAATTATGTTAAAATTAAATTTACCTTCAATCTCCTCCTCTTCCTCCTCATCTTCATCCTCATCCTCACTGGAATCACTGACCTGCACCGTTATGTCAGTGCTGGTTACAGGGGTCCAGTCAAAGTAAACTCCAAAGCCAATGTCATAGTCATCGGTCGCAAACTCCCAGCAGACACGCTTCCCCTCTGGGTGGGTAGGTACCCGGATGGTCACCACCTCACCCCGCTTTACCACCAGACGGCTGTTCTTCTCTTTGCCCAGCTTGCTTTTGAATTCCTTCATCTTGGCAAAGGTCCAGATGCATGGAGGTGCCATCAGAGGCGGGGAGACTGAAAGGACAGGCAGCTCACTACTGAGAAAGAAACCCGGAGGAAATGCTGCCACACCCGGCATTTTGCTTAGGGAGGTTGTCATAGTCGAAGACATTCTTCCTACTGGCTTCCCTGACTTCTTTTCACAAGGAAGGAGAGAGCACTGCCCTGAGGTGTGTCAGCTACTCAGCTTAAGAAATAGGTCTCTTTACGTACCATATATATACCTGGTACTCTATCCAGAATGTAATATTCAGACACTAGTTGTTTTTCCTCCTTTTGTAATATAATCACGTATGTAATCTTATGCTTTCCCCTTCCTTTCTTTCTTTCCTTCCATCTGTCTGCCTGCCTTTCTTTAAGTACCCACTGGGAACCAAACAAAAAAAAAAAACCACCTTCCACACCCCCAAAGGTCTCACCTCTCCTGTGGTCCCCCAGAAGGTCTGCAGATTCCAAATCAGCTGAAAGAATATCTACAGCTCCTGTGTGCTCAGACTGGATCATAACGATGTCCCCAGACCTTGGCAGACCATGGTACTTAGCCATCTGCATAAGAGAGCTCTGGTTACAGGACATATATAAAGGCGGATTCCAATTAGCCTCTTTCCACCTGAAGGCTGCCTCCCCTGCCCTATTACCTCCACTCTTCCAACTCACAGTCTGAGTGCTAGTCAACATTCCTGCTCCCTCCTCCAGCCACAGGTTGCTAATAAATTCTACCAACTTTTTTTAATGCCATCAACATGTTCCCTAGTTTAAAGCTTCTTTCTTGTTCTCTCCTGCTTTTTGCAACTTTCCCACTTCAGACCCTTCATAAAATCCTTGCCCAAGGACATCCTCAAAATTTGCTACTGACTTTTCCATCGACAGCATTTCTGGGCGCAGCGTTTCTGGGCCATGCCTGCACAGTCTCTCCCTTCGGCTCCTCTCAGGACAGCTCTTGCATCTGGGCTTTAGCTCAACCTTCACTCGGCCACACATCCTCCTGCTACAATTTCCATCCACAGGTTACTTCCAGGTCACTGTCAATCAGTTCACCAAAGTACTGCAGAGAGAGAATCTGGCTCCTACTCTCTGGCTGTCTGTCTCTCTCTCTCATCCATGGCACACCTTGGATGTCTCACCCTATAGGTTGTCTCATTCACTAACAATGTTGTATAAATAATCACAATCTCACCTTAGACCAGCCCCAGGATTTGCATTTAAACAGTATATTTGCTGCCAGACATCTAACTTGCATGTAAGTGCAAATATCACTCGATACTCGCAAAGCCCTCACTGACCCAAGGCAGGAGCCTGCAGTCTCTCCCTAGTGGGTTTCACTTCAAACCACTCAGATTACCATTCCCCTATTTCATGCTATTATGACTTAATTTCCTGCCCCTTCTCCAAGCAGTTGACAAGCAACTCAAGAAGGAATGTACGCCTACTGCCAACACGGAAGAGCACATCAGTGAGACAGCAGTCCAGATAAGGAATCAGAATTATATTTGCAATAAATGAATGAATGAATAAATGAATGCTGTAATCCTCCCAGACTATTTTCTCATAATATCTGTTTCTGAAGAGTAAGTTCTCCAGCTCTTATTTCCAATGTTAAATGAGGTAAATCAGACTTTGACTAACTTGCTTGAATGAGTCCTTCCTCTTACAGAAGGTTAAACAAAAGATTTAGTTTGCAACTTAACAGTTGCATAGACTTAGTAAAGTCACTAACAGCTCTGAGCCTCAGTTTCCTCATCTTTAAATTGGGGACATAATGGTACCTATCTCACAGGGTTGTTCTCAGGAGTAAATGAAGTATTGTATTATGGATAAAAATGCTTTGTAAACTCTAAAGCATCATACAAATGTAACTATAATGTTCGGCACTGTCTTTACTGACACCATTTATTATTCTAATATATATGTTAATAATGGTACGAACAGCCCATCCCTCCATGGCAGGGAGACCACTACTACTGGTACCATTTCTATGGAATCTTTACCATAAATACCGAGTAGATCTACCACAAGAAAACTGAGACTAACACATAATCCAATGGTTGAAGTTTCCTCACATCGAGTGGATTTTAGACAACATGGGAACATTCATTGTAACACTTCATTTTTTGAATAGATGCTTACTGGGTGCTAGTACAGTGATGGGCCCTGGGGAGGATACACATGATCATTCCCCAAATAATTAAACCTGAGATGACAGTGCTTTCTAATTCCAACCCACCCAAATGCATCTAAATTCTGTTGTCACAAACTAGTGCTTTTCAGAGAGAGAGTAAGAATGTGCGCCCTACCTTGCTGAGGACCTGGGCCTGGTCTGCAGACAGCAATTCCTGTTCCACCGAGGCCTGTGCCTCCATGGCACTGGCTGCCTTCTGCTGATCTTCTGTGGCATCCTCCCTCACCGGAGATACCATCTGTGGCCTCCCAGAGAAAGAGAGCATGTCAGTTCAAGGACTCTTTTTTTTTTTTTCCTGGCTGCACCATGCGGCTTGTGAGATCTCAGTTCCCTTGTGGGATCTTAGTTCCCCAACCAGGGACTGAACCCGGGCCCTTGGCAGTGACAGCGTGGAGTCCTAACCACTGGACCGCCAGGGAATTCCCCTCAAGGACTCTTTTCAAAGGCACAATGGTCCTGGAGAAACTCAGAAAGAAAAAAACCTTCAAAGGGTACCCTCAACCCCTGTTTCCTCTGGCATTTGGGCCCACCGTCATTTCAGCTGACCACTGCCCAGGGCTGAAATGGCCTACAATGAAGCAGTGACAGCATGTGAGGGCTCAGGACTGACAACACCACATCCCAGGCTCCGAGAACCACGGTAAACACACAGCTCAGTCATCTGAGATAGACCGCAGGTCTGGTTTTTATTCCTCAGTCTGGGACCGATGCCATTTGCTCTGCACAGAATTTCAACAAAAGAAGAGTTAGAATCCCAGGTCTGTTCCACACATAAAGCTGCTGTTAGAAGCAAAGGGAGGAGGCCTCGCCTAAGCCAGAAACTGATCACAAAACAAAGGAAGTACAGACTGATTAGCAAGGCAACCCTCTCCGCCTTATCCCAGGAGCATTCAGCGTTTCCATTCACACCCTATCACTGATATCCATAGCACACCCAGTTCACTTTTTTAAGCACGTTAATCTACTATCCCAATAACTTAAAACACAACTATTGGGACTTCCCTGGTGGCGCAGTGGTTAAGAATCCTCCTGCCAATGCAGGGGACATGGGTTCAAGCCCTGGTCCGGGAAGATCCCACATGCCATGGAGCAACTAAGCCCATGCGCCACAACTATTGATCCCAAGTGCCACAACTACTAAAGCCCGCGCACCTAGAGCCCGTGCTCCGTAACAGAGAAGCCAATGCAATGAGAAGCCCACGCACCAAAATGAAGAGTAGCCCCCGTTCGCCGCAGCTAGAGAAAGCCCGCATGCAGCAACAAAGACCCAATGCAGCCAAAAATAAAATTAAAAAAAAAGAAAACCACTATTCCAATAGCTGATTTTAAAGAAGCAAGGGAATAATTTATGCTCTCTTCCATTTCTTCTGGCTTTGGAGAGACCAGAAAGTGAGTTAAGAGCCGGGGCTGTAGCACAATACCCCAGGCTTCTTGGAAATCTGTTGCCAACAAAAGGTGGCGTGGAGTCTTTAGACAAGCAGTTATCAAAGTATGGTCCAGGGACCCCTGGCGTCCTTAAGACTCTTTCAGGGGAGTCTGTGAAGTCAAAACCTTTTCATAATAATTCTAAAATATTATTTGCCTTTTTTCATTTTCATCTTCTCAAGAGTTTACAGTGGAGTTTTCCAAAGACTACATGACATATGATATCACAACAGAACGAATGCAGAAGCAGATCTGAGAATCCAACTGTCTTTTGTTAAGACACACATTAAAGAGATTTACAACATCCCTCTTCTCACTAAATTATTTTTTCTTTGGAAAACAATTGTTTTTCATTAAAGACATGTTATTTATATTAACATGTAATGAGTTCCTTATTATTTTAAATGAATAACTATTTTTTAATTTTCTAGTTTTAATTACTAGTATAGTAAACATTGTAAGATATAATTCACATAAACAAAAATTCTTTGAGGTCCTCAATAAATTTAAGAGTGTTAACTTTTGAGAACTGCTGCTTTAGGGTATCGTCCATTTCCTCAGACAGGCTGAGCAAACAACTGGGAAACAGCACTACAAACTGCACGGGGAAACAGAGGGCTTATTTTGGAGTTCATTAGTTTCTTCTTTCTTTCTTTTTTAACATAAACAAGAAAGATCACTCCTAGTTTATAAATTACCTCTTCTTCAGATAAAACAGAGCCATCTTTTGGGATATCTAAGTCACTCCAATTGACCTCAGAACAAACAAGAGGTAGTTACTATGAAAATCAGAGCTGTGGTTGATTATTCTGTGTGAACTATAAATTGGTCTAGGCTGTGAGCCTATTTTATTCTCTTAAACCCAGAAATTAGAGCCCATTTTGGTTCCTTGGCACTACTTATTATGTCTCCTCCTCTATTAGGAGGTGAGCTTGATGGCAGGGACTGGGTCTTACTCCCTCTAGACTAACAGCTTCCATGGCCAAGCTTGTCGCATGGAACCCTGAGGCCCTTTGCACTCTGACCTCATCTCCTAGAATGACCTCCTCTTGCCTTGCCCAGTCCACGCCAGTCACAATGGCCTGTTGAATCTTTGAGAGTACTCGAGCACCTCAAGCACTCCCCCACTGAGGGTCTGGGGGCCTGCTATGGCCTCAGCCTAGAATACTCTTCCCCCAGTTACTCAGGGCTTCCTTCCGTCCTTCAGGTTTCTGCTCAGCCATCACTTTGGGAGAGGCGTCCCCTCCCTGGCTCATCACTCTTTACACCCGTACCCTGTTCATTTTTCTTCACTGCACTGATGACTGCCTGACATATTATGTACCATATTTTGTTGACTGCGAGATGCATATTTGTTTTCAGATTTTAATACAACTGAAATACAGGATGTCCTAAAAACTGGTGGTATCTTAAAACTGCCGTGGGCCTGCAGTGACACGGAATCCCTCCTCAGGGGATTTGCATTTGCTTCTGCCAGGGCTTGGGAATGCTACCAACTGAGGTGACTTGAATTATGTTCTGTTTACGAGTTTTGTTTGGACCACACTTGCAGAGTGAATTTACACAACAGACTTGTGGCTCATATTCTCAGGGGAGGTATTTTTCCCCCCCTTACACAGCGCCAAGGTTGAGACATTCAAGTTGCCCTGCTCTCCTTTTCTGTGTGGAGCAACCTCTTTCCTTGTTTCTCTTTTCACTGAAGGGGCAGGCTTTTGTGGGAGGTCTCTTATTAGCCTATCTTGGGCATTCTTTCCTTTCTTGGTGGTATATAAAATAACAGTACATCTTATAGTTGATGACAACTTAGATTCTATGAAATGCGATGTATACTTTTTTTCCATCTACCTCCCCCACTAGAATATAAGCTACATGAGGCCCGGGATGTGGATTGTCTGTTCACTTGTGGTGTCTTCAGTACCTAGAACACTGCCAGGTAACAGCAGGCTCTCAATAAACATCTGTTGAATGAATAAATGAATACGTTAACTTTTGTTTGGGAACAAAAGAGGACTATTCGGAATGTGAGAACACAATAGTTAATCTGACCATCAGCCTGACCTTACTGTATATGGCATCTAAAATGTAGTTTCTTCCTTGCCTTTGTGCATGCTACTTTGCACAAATATGGTTCTGCTTATTTAAAAAATATTTTAAACAGCACATGCATAAATTTAATATTCACATTAGCATTTTATGCTCTGAAGAATTAGTGAAAGGTACTTTGGGAAAGATAAATTGCAAATCACTTGATGCAGGTGATAAACCATGTAAAGGAAAAACTCTCACTGTAAGCCTTCTGGTTTATGCTAACCCAGAGCAGGGAGGCCATCCCAAAGGGAGGGAGAGATTGGCCGGCCGGCCAGCCTCACTAGAAAAGACCGAGAGTCATGCCGTTTCCATTTCTAAAATATACAAAACACAAACACCAGACTTCAGGCGTCATGCATGCTGGATTTTTTTTTCTTCACACATCAGATTTTAGAAACAAAACTTGAAATTTTTATCTCCTTTTTTCTAAGAATAGTCTATATTCTTCACTCAAAAAATTTATTTACTCTTAATATGAAAAAATCAGCTCTGTACCAAAAGCCATCTCCCAAGGATCCTTCAAATCAGCATGTGCAGGGACTTCCCTGGTGGTCCAGTGGTTAAGACTCTGCGCTTCCACTGCAGGGGGCAGGGGTTCGATCCCTGGTCAGGGAACTAAGATCCCGCATGCCACGGGGCCATGGCCACAAAACAAACAAACAAGAATCAACATGCGCAGAAAAAGCGTGGTGGCAGGAAAATGGAAGGACAGAAGGACACTCTTCTCACAGCATTTGATGAGAACATGAATTATCTCAAATAATCAATGCCTGGAGGAGGCTATGTCTTCTAAAAGTATCCTTATATGTAATAACCTAGTAGCTCTAAGCATAGAACTCAAAACCCTTCTGTTGCTACTTATGAGAAATAAGCTTTAGAGTAAACAAAACTAAAGCTGTGTGAACTTGGGGAAATTATTAAATTCACTGTTTCATTTTCCTCATCTTAAAAAAATACTTTATTCAGTTTGTTACGAGGATTAACTGAGATAATACATTTTAACACCTAGTACAGTATTGTACGAACAGAAATATTTGATAAAAAGTAACTATTTTATTATCATTATTACAGAGAGGCGTTCAATAAAGGGTGGCTATTATATTATTATCACCAACTGTATTAAAATTATATTAATTATTATTATTTTCCATTGTCTGAATTCTGGGGGAAAAAGTTTTATTTCATATACAAAGGAAGAAGAGAGAATTTCTACTTAAGAAATAACATTTTAAAAATATCATGGGACTTCCCTGGTGGTCCACTGGTTAAGACTCCACGCTTCCACAGCAGAGGGCACAGGTTCAATCCCTAGTCAGGGAATTAAAACCCTGCATGCCGTGTGGCATAGCCAAAAGAAAAAGAAATCTTAACATACCCCCACCCCCAGCAATCAACTTTGGGTGGGGCATGGAGACCACAGGTTCTACTGGACAGTACTGCACCATGAGCTGATCAGTTGGACTATAATATTCTCCAAAATATTCTCCAAAATAACAGTTTTTCATTAATTATTCCATTAATGTTTTGTGGCTTCCACTTATTCTAGGGCGCAGTACTACTGTTCCCTTTCTGCTATATACTCTGATATCAGTGATGGCAGAAGGATGAGATGGGTGGAGAGGGAAATTAAGAATGACAACCTGAAGATCATCCTCGTGGTTTAATCTGAAAATTACATAATAAAAAACTGCCTGCAACACTGTGTTTGTGTGTGTGCATTTTATGGGTAAAAACCAAACACATGTTCTCTTGAAAGTCCACCTGTGGACACTCTTTTTCTTTCTTTTTTTTTTGGGGGGGCGCTGCATTGGGTCTTCGCTGCTGTGCGCTGGCTTTCTCTAGTCGCGGCAAGCAGGGGCTACTCTTCGTTGCGGTGCGCGGGCTTCTCATCACGGTGGCTTCTCTTGTTGCAGAGCACAGGCTCTGGGCGCGTGGGCTTCAGTAGTTACAGCATGCGGACTCAGTAGGTGCGGCACACAGGTCCTAGAGTGTATGGCCTTCAGTTGTGGTGTGTGTGTGGGCTTAGTAGCTGTGGCACACGGGCTTAGTTGCTCCACGGCATGTGGGATCTTCCCGGACCAGGGATCGAACCCATGTCCCCTGCATTGGCAGGCAGATTCTTAACCACTGTGCCACCAGGGAAGTCCCTGGGATCCATTTCTAATGTTTTAACATTTTAACCTGGTCTTCAAGAGGAGATAAATGAAGACACTACACTATTTGTTACAGTTCTATTCTCTGAGAGTTAAAGAAAATTTTATAACCTGAAATAGACCTGCATTCCCCCTAAACACACTTAAGGATTGATTAATTAATGACAAAACACTCCATACTCTTCACTTCATCTTGTCTTCCCCCTTAAAGTCACTGTTTACTTCTTTCATCAATTACTATCTCAGAAGATAAAACCCCGAGAAGCATTATATCCAAAGTAGTTGCTGTCCCTACCTGTAGGGTGAGGAATGGGGTTCCGGATCAGAGGCAGAAGCTGCTAGAGAGGTGACCTTGGTGACTTCCAGATCTTCATTCTCTAGAAAATCATGGGAAGAAAAATTCAATACCGGAGAAGGAACACAATCATAATTATCTTGTATCTTTTTTAAAAATCTGGCAGTTTCAACCAACTTTCCCTTTCTAAAAATAATCTAGGCACAAACTTTATACTCTGGGAGCCCCAGTACATAAATTATTCAAGTCCAAGTATTCTCAGACCATTATAACCTACTCATAAAAAAAATGTCATTTTCCAAAACAAGTCCCCACAGAATTCATCTTAATTCAAGGATCACATTTCACAGAAAGCAAATGGTTAAACTAGGCAGAACGTAGAGGACAGAATGGAATGTAGAATGAAATGAACTGGAATTCAGTGCCAAAGTAGAGAGTGCCACCTCTACAATCGATCAGCTCACATCACCGTATCCAGGGTCGGGTAAAGGATTTTTGTAATTTCATTCATTTACTCACTCACTCATTCACCAATGACTTACTGAAAACCGCTCAGCATCGTCAAGGAATATACAGGTGAAATGTACAATGAAGACCAGTTTCCCAGGCTCACAACAAGCCTGTGACTGGTATTATCATTGCCACTTTGCAGGTAAGGAAACTAAGGCATAGAGATAGGATGCAAACCCAGGCAATTATGCTCTTAACCATTAGGTGTTACTAAGTTTCACGGTGTATTCATGTAGCCTTTCCTGTGAGCACTCAGAAAAGCATATGGTTTAGTGTGTTTAGATAACCCCTGGTGAACCTCCTCTAGTTAAGACAGCAAAAAAACTGAAGCCCAAAGTTCACTTCTCAATATAAAATATAACTTACTGATGTAAACCTCAAACACTGAAAATTTCAGAGTTTGGTAGCAACATAAGAGTATAAATGACAGGTAAATATTTGTGATTCAACTTTAGTCTCATTTTTTTTTTGTATGTGAATAGGATCTATTTTCTTTTTGTCAACTCACATTCTCATAGGTAGAAAGACCTTACAGCTTATGCTACCTGATTTTCCTCTTGTGAGATAATAGAAAATACATATATTAGTTTCTGCCCCCAGTTCCTGGCACAGAACTAAAACCTTTATAATTCCCTAAGTGATTAGAGCACTATGAGTACCTTTTGTTCTAATATTTGGTCTTTGATTTGGTTCCTGCCACAGAGTTCCTTAATCCCATGGAATTTCCTGGGTGATAACAATGTCTCTTGTTCTAATGAAGTGCCTCTTGGGCCCCTACATGGGGGCTGGTAAAGAGAAAGACAAAGCCATGATTAGAAGCTTGGGATTTTCAACCCCACCATCCTTTCTCCAGAGAGGGGAGAAGGGCTGGAAATGGAGTTAATGATTGATCACACCTACATGATGAAGCCTTCATAAAAATCCCAAAAGTAATGGGTTTGGAAAGCGGCCAGCTCAGTGAACACATCTCTATAGCAGGAGGGTGACCCACCCCAGCTCTGTGGGGACAGAAGCTCCTTCGCTTGGGACCCTCCCAGACCTCGCCCTCTGTATCTGACTGTTCATCTGTAACCTTTACCATATCTTTTAATAAACTGGTAAACGTAAGTGTTTCCTTGAGTCCTCTGAGCTGTTCTGGCATTTAATCAAACCCAAGGGGGAGGAAGTCATGGGAACTACCAATTTGTAGTCAAGTCTGACAGAAGTTGTGGGTAACCTGGGGAACTACTACTGGCAACTGGCATCTGAAGTGGGATGGGAGCAATCTTGTAGGATTGAGCCCTTAACCAGTGGGATCTGACACTATCTCCAGGTAGATGGTGTTTAGAATTGAGTTAAATTGTAGGACACCCAGCTGGTGTTGCAGAGTTGCTTGGTGTGGGGAAAAAACTCCACACATCTGGTGTCAGAAGTGTTGAGAGTGTGGCTGTGTGACAGAGTAAAGGAGAAACACAGGAGGACTGAGGTTTTCTTTACACCTCTCAACAAAGGAACTGAGTCTAAGACAAAAGTCAGACATTCCCCAGGGTCCCCTAGTCTGTGAAGAGGCCCTTTTCACCAAGAGATAACGAGAATAAAAAGTTCTTCCCTATGTTGACCTAAGTAAAATTCACTTCCTAATAAATTCTGCTCTTCGATCACTACTCCCCACAATATCCTTTCAAATATTTACAGCCTGCTATCACATTTCCTGCAAGTTCCTTCCCAGGCCGACCATCTCCAGTTCTCTCCATCATCTCTTTGTTCCATTTCAAGAAAAGAGCTAAAATGGACAACTTTTTCAGATGAGTCCTAAACCATGCAGAGTACATGGAGACAATCATCTCTTAATAAGGGCACAGTATTTCTTGACGTAAGACATTAACTGGGCACTAGATTTTTTTAACTGCAAACTTACCCCGTTGGCCTAAATAAGTCAATCAAGATCTCCAAGGGCTTATAAAAATAAACTTATTCCAAGCTCAGTCTCTCCTATGCTCTATTTTTGAAACAGATTTTTGGAAAATAACTGACATCTTAACTTAAGTGCAGGACTTCATGTATCCGTATTATTGATTTTAAATTAGGTTTTTGAAATGACACAAGTACATGCTTTGCGCATTGTAGAACAAATTAAATACAGATAAGAAAACATTCTGCATTTACCCTTCCAGACTTTAATATACAAATAATCCATTATTCAGTGTAGAAAAATCAGGAAATACAGACAAGAAATAAACAAAACAACCAAACACAATCCCACTAGCCCAAAATAACCACTGTTAACATTTTGGTGCATATCCTCTCAGAAATATATTTATACATATACATACACATATATGTGCATATTTATATGTATGACATATATAGATAAATGTATACGTATAGACATCTATATATTTATATATTTCCCCCCCCATCCCCAGCAATCAACTTTGGGTGGGGCATGGAGACCACAGTTTCTACTGGACAATACTGTACAATGAGTTGATCAGTTGGACTATAATACCTACTAGCTCAGGTATGAATACAGCTTTTCATTAATTATTCCATTAATGTTTCATAGTTTCTACTCATTCTAAGGCTCAGTACAAATATAAATGTATATATAATATTTATATATTATATAAATATTTATATAAAAATTCTATTTATATACCTATATTTCCAAAAGGACATGTACCTAATATTACTGAACATTATTCATGAAAATTTTTCAGGGTCAATAAAAATGGGACTAGGGCTTCCCTGGTGGCGCAGTGGTTGAGAGTCCGCCTGCCGATGCAGGGGACACGGGTTCGTGCCCCGTTCCAGGAGGATCCCACATGCCGCGGAGCGGCTGGGCCCGTGAGCCATGGCCGCTAAGCCTGCGCGTCCGGAGCCTGTGCTCCGCAACGGGAGAGGCCACAGCAGTGAGAGACCCGCGTACTGAAAAAAAAAAAAAAATGGGACTAAAAAAATAATTTAAAATGGCTGCATATTACCCCATAATTTCTTTAACCAATCCCCAAGCCCCTATTGTTAGAGCTAGACTCTGTTTCAAATCTTTCCCTGTTATAGAGAATTATGTTATATTAGAGATGTCTACAACCCTCTCTTAAGAACTTTGCCTGTCCACAGCCTTGAAGGGGCAGTCCTGTGACCAGGGAACACTATGTTGGCTATTGGTTTTGGGTGAACATCTGCCCCACAGTTTCCAATTCTCTTCCCCCAAGTCTGGGGTTGGTACCAGAGACCAAAACAAACTGTGAAGAGCCTCAGTCGGGTCAGGGACTGAGGCTACCTTTTGGAAGAAGCCTTTGCATGCCATGCAAAAGCAGATGACTAAGCAGAGGAGACAACTGTCAGAGACAGAAAATAATGCATTCAAGCAAAAAGAAACAAGGCGTGGTGGCGTCCAGGCAGCTGGTATCAGGTGAACCCGGATTAGGGACAACCAAAGAAAGCTGCACCTTGGCCTCCTCTGAGCCAAAAGCTGAGCCCTGGATTGTCATTTTATTATTTATAGGAGTTCTGGATACAAATTTTTGTCAATTGTATGTTATAAATACCTGCTTCCACTCTGTGATTTACCTTTTCACTCTTCTAATGGTGTCTGTCCTTTGATGAACCAAAGTTCTTAATTTTAATGTAGTCAAAATTTATCAATCTTTTCCTTTATTAGTCTTTGCGTGTCCTGTTTAAGATGTCTTTCCCTACACTGAGATCAAGAAAATACTCTCCTTTATTATTGTCTAGGAGCTTATTGTATTTTTTTTCACATTTTGATCTACAATCCAACTAGAGTTGATTTTTTGTGTTTATGGTGTGTGAGATAAGGATCAAGGTTTTTTTTCTTTTCCTTCCTTCTCTTAGGGTATTCAATTTTACCAGCAATATTTACCATTCTTGCCCCACTACTCTAAAGTACAATCTTTGTTGCAAATGAAAGATTTTGTTCCTAGGCTTTTATTTCTATTCCTAGGGCTTAACTGGGCTATTCTGTAAAAGCCTTAAAATAAGTCTTGATTGTAAATCAACTATATTTCAATAAAACTTTTTTTAAAAAGTCTTGACACCTGATACACCAAATCTTCCCATCTTGTTGTTCTTACTTGAGTGTCTTTGGTATTGGCCTTTCATTTCTTTGGTAATGGCCTTTCATTTCTATATCTATTTTAGAACCAGCTTGTCAAACTCCACCCAGATGGCCCACCAAAACCCTCTAGGATTTTTATTGGGATTGTATTTTATCTATAAATCAAGTTGGGGAGAATTGACATCTTTACAATACTGAGTCTTCCAAACTAAGAATATGGCAGATCCTTCCATTTACTTATTCTTTAATTTCTCTCAATAATAATGTATTATAATCTTCTGTATAAAGTTTTTGCATATATCTTGTGAGATTTGTTCCTAGGTATTTGAAGTTTCTTTATTCTGTAGTAAATTACATATATATATATATATATATATATATATATATATACACACACACACACACATATATATTTAACTTCTTCGCTAGTACACAGGAATGCAATGGAATTTTGCATATTGACCTATATCCAACAATCTGGACAAATTTATTAATTTCAATACATTGCCTATAGA